GGACTAATTATGGTAATTAGTTATATTTATATGTGTTGGGCTTATGATCCATGTTAGACCAAGTTTATGTATGGATACATAAAGAGTTGGGCCACATGAACCATGGATCATAAAAACCCATGGGTATGGATTTGGGTTATACCCATGAACCTTGAAATACCACACATATAAATACATATATGATGACCTAAAACCGCCACCTTGTGTGTGTGCATGTTCTTGGAGTTCATGAAGGTTTTTGGTGCATGGAGTTTCTCTCTCAAGAGTCACCTTTGTTCTAGGTGAGTTGTGATTCTATTTGAGGTGCAACACTTGGGGCACTAAGTTCTTAAAGGCCAAAGTGTTTCAAGCAACACCAAATACATCAAGACTTCCAGCCACATAAAAAAGTATGTTACACTAACTAGCATCTTGTGTAGTTTACATCTTTGCATGCTAGTTATAGGCTTAATACCTTGGAAACTCCTTTGCATGTATAATTAGTGAAAACATAGATCCAAGGTATTTAGGGTTGTATGTGCACCATAGGATGTTGTAGTATACTAAAACCCATCAGTTCATACTTCATGTTATTCTATATTGAGCATTTTTTTAGTTAATCATTTTTGTGATTTGACTAGTTTACCAGACTTAATTGGAACTCTATTACAAGAAATCGTTGATATTAATTTAATTCAAGGTTTGATTTTTCAAACCTTATCCGTGAAAATCCTCACATTCACAACTGGTATCAGAGCATAAGTGGTTCTCCTTTGAATCCATAAGAACATATTATAGTTGATTGTAGATTACCTTGGTATGTCAATCATTTATGTGTTCAGGATAAAAGTTCTTACATATAGCACTTCAGCTCTAATATCTTAACATCAATGGCTACATATATTCAAATGCAACAAATGTATTCAATGTCAATCACAAATAGCATGGGTTTCCCATCGCATGCTCCATTACTAGTTGTCGAAGATTATGATCACTGGAAAGTTAGAATGGAGAGATTTTTGCCTGGTAAGGAAAAATGTGAAGAAATATGGAGGTCGGTAAAAGAAGGTCCTCATGTTCTTGTCAGAAAGTAGTTAGAGATGTTGTTACCACTCTTATGGGACAAGAAGAGCGTCTTCTAGCACCACTAACTGCTAATGGCATCGAAAAGCTTCATGCAGATGGGATCACTTTCTCTGAAATGGTATTTGGTGTTCGACCATCTCTCTTTGAGCACATTAAGTTATACAAATATGTTAAATGTTTTTGAAGGATACACTACAAGACATTTTTGAAGGATCATAGAATATGAAAGATAAATGTTTGATATTTGTGGTGAATGACTTCTACATTTTCACTACCACACCAGGTGAATGGGTTGCATATGCATCAAATCAGTACAGAATTGTTGTGAAAAACATGATTGCACATGGTTTTGTTCTTACTCTACTTGAGTACAACCTAAAGTTTATCAACAACCTCAGAAAAGGTTGGAGGAATGTCAAATTCTATATTCAGAGCAATGGATCTCTGAAGAAGTTGAAGCTCTACCAGTTGTTCGACGAACTGTAGGGTAATGAATCTAATGTTGCTCAAACATTAAAAGAACTCTTTGGAGGTCCTCCCACTCTAGTTAGTTCGGTCAATCCACTTATTTCAAACCCAGTTGTCTCAGATCCTTTCAAAGTTGTCCCACCTATTTAACCTGCTCAACCTGTCCCACCTATTGTACCTGTTCCACCAGTTCCGAACTATCCATATGAAGAAAATTTTGACCCAGAAGCTGTTGATTCTGAACTTAGGTTTCAACAAAAGTTTTCTCTTTTATCGATGAAGTATAGGAGATCATGGAATCTGAATCAAAAACCTACTCAGAACCTCTTTCAATCTCCTCACCAAAGCAATCCTCACCCTTACCCTAAACCAACTGAGAATCTACCAGCATATCGTCCCAACATTCCTAAACATTCCCCGGAACCTCAAGAAGTTCCAAACTCAACCAAACCCAAGATTGTATGTGAAAAATGTGGTCTCAGAAACCACTATGCAAAGGAATTTCTAGTTGATGTTCCTATGAAACCAAAGGCGAAAGATTCTGCCGACTATGCTCAACGAGCACAAGAACTTGCTAAAAGTGAAAATGCATTTTTCACTACCATTTCAAGAAATATTAATGGGTATTGTTCATCTGGTGATGATGGTGAAGGAAAATCTAGGAGAAACATGTGTCTTGTGGCTAGACAGACGATTAAGTGTGATGAAGGCTACTGGTGTTCCGGTTCTGAAGTAGATGATGAGGGTGTTAAGTCAAACTACTGCTACATGATAACCAACGATTCACATGGCAGAAGCATTATTCAGCAGGTAAAAACCATGATTGCTGATAATAAATTTTATTTATCTATCTCCAAACCTTATCTAACTCAAATTCAATCAGATATGACCGTTATTCTTAAAACCAATGAGTCTCACGTAGAAGTTAGTGAGAAGCTGGATAGTGATTTAACACACATTAGATTACAATGCGAAGACTGCAAGCTTAAATTTGAATATTTAGAGCGTGAACTTGTAATAGCTAGGGATGAATGTATCATCCTTAATGACAAATGTGAAATTTCAATTAGTGAAAGAAATAACTTAGTTAAAGATAACGTGCTTCTTAAAGCAAAAATTGATGTTCTTCATAACTCTATTGATGATCTTGAAGCTAATAAGAGAATGACACACAATTTTCGTCATCCATGGTCCAAAGAACCTGGTCTCGGAAGCAAGTTTCTGAAACCTATTGCTCGTCCTCTGAAGGAACTTCAAAATTTGACATTTATGTGAGACATTTCGAATCACACTTATTCAAATACCCTTGTCGCACTATTATCGTCCCTTCAACTTCTTCACTATCCCCCATCAAGTACAACTTTTCAAATTCATCAATGTATTCTCTAATACTTATTTTTTCTTTCCTTAAATCAGCAATCTTCTTTTAAGTGAAAATTCTATGAGTAAAGGAAAAAATCTTTTTCTTAGCTTTCATTTTAGAGAAAGCCAAGAACAATTTGTTTCTTCGCCTTCACGGGTTCTCTTGGCCTTAAGCCCTTCAAACCACAATGAAGCACCACCACTTAGCTTGAGAATGTCATACTTGTAGCTTTTTTCGTCATCAACTTCCTTGAACTAGAACATTCTTTTAATCTTCCTTTTCCACTCCAGGTAGCGTTCAGGATCAGTTCCACCAACAAAATCAGGCAATTTAGACACCTTGAAGTCTTCCACAACCCTATGTTCATCACATCGGGGTTACCTTCGATTACCACTATCTTGGACGTTTCTTAAGGCTTCAAGAACATTTTGTAAGAACTCTGGATCATCAAAATCCATTCCAGGCTCTGATACCACTTATGATGCGTGTATGGGCTTGATTTAGTGAGTAGTGTAGTGTTTAGATAAGTTAAGAGAGAATGACAACCACAAATTATATGCGTATAGAAAGAAATGGATAAATTAGTATCAACTCCAGACTTATTAAGTTGTATACCAGTAAAAACAATCCAAGACTTATTGGATTGAATTCGTATCAAGTCAAGAACATGTCCCAACAATGATAAGTAGTGAATAATAACAATAACTCCAAGTGAACAAAGGTTCTTTGATTAAAAATTTGTGTGTACCTTTTTTCTATGCAAAAACCTGACTTATATGAAGCCTTTATTACAAAGTTGGTGGTTACAAGCCAACCAACCACCTACTCATCAAAACTAGTAAATGAAAATTAAGGAAACTCATGAAACAACACAAAAAAATGTCTAACACACTTAAGAATGAAAAAAAAAACTTACATGCTCCATTAAGGAGCCATAATAAGCATTAAACTCTAACACTAATCCACCAAATAGTATCGAAAACAGATAGGAAACTTTATGAAGCAAAAAGTAACTGTTTTGAGCACTTAAGAAGCCTTAAAAATGTTGCCCTAGACTTCATGCAACCCTAATCCAATTCGTGGGTTACCATGCATAACCTAACCATTGAGCCCAAACCACCTTCTAGCCTACTAGTAATCACTAGTTCATCACCTTTTGGGTTTTCATGATCCATGCACGGATCAATTAGACATTTAGACTATCCACATTCATGACTATACCCAACTCAACCTTCATTTAAAAAATAATTTCTCTTTCATCATAATTGATGTGTAGCCAACTAAGAAAAGCAACTCATGACAACTTTGGCCTTTGATATCAGTCGGGTTGGTTGTCATCTCTATATTTTATACTACCCCTGTTCAATATTTATTGTCAACTTTTGACTTTTGAAGTCTTTATTCTTTAATTTTGACCTTATTTAGTTTTTTCATATATAATACTTGATGCAAAATATATGTTTAGATTGTGTTTTAAATGTCTTTTCATTGTTATAAGTTTCATCAGGTAATATATAACACAAATAAAAATATTAAAGGTCAAATTTAAAGTTTTAGAACTCAAAAGTGGACAATAAATATGGGACGGAAAAAATATTATTTTAATAGATTTTTTTTTTGTCTTTAGTGAGCTGGTTGCAAGAGGCTAACCATGGGGTAGTCTTAGATTCCTCAATATCAAAACCGACCTCACCATGTAAACATAACATGTCTTGTATTCTTTTTACTTATTCAACCGATATACCACAAAAATTATCTCTTAATTTTTTTCTTGAAAATAAAACTATAATATATTCTTATAATTTGATGATGAAAAACTTATACTTAACCTAGAACAACTTTATAAGGAGAACTTTTCACATTTCAAGAAACATTTCAAAATATAATATTATCACAGGGTAAAGAAAATTAACTACATATACAACAATTGAAGTACCTTAGTTACCCTTAGACTAAATTTAATAGAAAAAAAATCTTGTAAACAAATATACCAATATGATCAACATCATTGGACACTAATGGCTTAAAACTTCCAACATTTGATTACTATAAAGTTATTTAGCTTGATAATATCATGCTATTATGACCGCAGGTTTTATTAAACCTACAACTCGCGAAGGCATCTTGTGACAATGGTTTTGACTTTCCTTGCATACCTAATATTTATGTCGACTTTTGCAAACTTGTCGAAATCTTCACACAATTCCCCATAATAGAAATCTTTTGCGTTTACATCGATTGATATTTTATTGAACAATGTAAAAAATTCTTCATCTTTATCAAAAATTCTCTTCTTGAGGAGAAATTTGGCGTCGTCGATTGATTGAATTAAACTTTTCATGAGAAATGCGTACGAAGTTACATACTTTGTGGCATCATAGCAACAATTCTCCATAGCAATGAGATTTCTCAACACAATTTCCATAAGATCATGATGTATCAGATTTGGGATTCTAAGTACTCCATTGTTTAACTTTATTTCCAAGATGTTTCGAGATTTAGATCCCTTTATTTCAGCTCCGATTCTGTGAAGTTGAGTTACTGTTGGAATGACTATTTTGGGAAGTGGTTGTTTGGAGTGTAGTTGGAAAATATGTGTTTTGGGTATGAAAGATTGGTGAATCAAGTCAAGTAGATGGTGAATTTCTTGGCCATATCTCTCTCGAATATAATACGGGTCCTCATGAACTGTTTTCTTAAAAAAACGAAAAGCTAATTCGATCAATGAGTAGTCGCCACATTGTTTAGGGGTAGGAACAATATTGAACAAATGATCAAGAATAAAGAAAGGGATTTGATTTTCGAGTAAAATCAAGTCATGTCTCAATCGATAAAACACTTCATATGTTGCCAAAAACGGGTCCCCTCTTCGTCTAGTTCCTTTACAACATGACTTGTTAAAAAGCTCAATAATGAAACAACCATCAATCAACATCATTTCCACAAACTCGTCACTCTGCATATGAATTTCTTCTCCGTAACATTTTCGAGCTTTATCTTCTAACACTTTGAGTGTCTCGACACACTTCCCTAATCGTGCTTCAACATTTGTTGCACGAGAGAGAAGGGTGTTGAGATACTTCCATTTGTAGTCCTCCATGACTTTTAATTTTTCTTCGCCACGATGAAAAGGGCCAATTGAGAGAATTAGAGGGAAATATTTCTCTTCATTTTCCTTATAAATTTTCTCTAAAACTTTGCATATGCGACCAAAATCAGATGTGTTTACCATTTTTTTCTTGATGGATGAAACAAGACTCACATGCTCTTCTAATACAATCTCGTTTGAAGCTTGAGTTTGTGATACATGAAGATCTAACTCCATCTTCGAAGATGTTTCTTTGTGGGAAAAAAACAAAAACAAAAACAAGTTAAGGTATATACAAGTAAATATGCAAATTATAACCGATAGTCAAAACATAAACATACCTGATTCACAAGAGTCAAGAGATGAGCAATCAAAATTCCAAGTTTTATAATTAAAAAGTATCTGATTAATAGTCTAACATGTATTTTTAAACAATAAATCTTACCGCACATTAAAAAAAACTTATAAGGTTGAAAGAGTAAGTCATAAGACAAGAGAAGAAGAATAAAAGGTAACTTGCTGAGGATGACAAAATAAAAGTGAAACACTCATACATGTGTTTGGTATTGTCTCATATAGCATCTTGTTAGATTTGGACGAAAATCCAATTTTTTGGTGAAGACATTACTTTTATATAATTTAATTAGCGTATCCGGTATTTGACTAATTAATTTTATATAATTTAATGTTATTACTATATATTTTTTATGGGTTAATGTCATAAAATGAAAACGGATGATAGGTGCGTTTGGTTGTGAAAAAAAAATTAGTTTTCCAATAAAATTTTCCAAGAAAAACGAAAATTTTAAAAACGTGTTTAGTTCGTTCAGTTTTCCAAAGTTTTCTAAGAAAATGAAAATTTTCATTTTTCCAAATTGTATGTAAATTGGAAAAGTGATTTTTACATTTTTCCAAAGTTTTCTAAATTTCTATGTTAAAAAATAAAAACTTCAGCGGTTTCAACCAAACGCGTTTTCTAAAATTTTCATTAAAAATCGAAAATGAAAACTATCTCTATTTTCTGAAAATATTTTCTTGGAAAATTAAAACAATTTTTCACAACCAAACGCACCCTAAACATTTTCCTTGTTATGTCAATTGTCTTTTAACTCTAATAAATAGGTCGCTAAGGGTGTGTTTGATTGTAGATTATTGTTTTTATTTTCTAAGAAAATGTTTTCAGAAAATAGAGTTGAGTTTTTATTTTCATTTTTCAATGAAAATTTTAGAAAATGCAGTTAGTTGGAACCGGTATGGTTTTCATTTTTCATCTTAAAAATTTAGAAAAACTTTGAAAAAATTGTAAAAAATCGTTTTTCTAATTTACATACAATTAGGAAAACAGAAATTTTTCATTTTCTTGTAAAATTTTTGAAAACTAAATCAACCAAACGCAATTTCAAAATTTTCATTTTCATTGAAAACTAGAAAATTTTCACAACTAAACACACTCTAAATGGTTCATTTAGGTCAACTCAGTATTGATATTACAATTGATATTACAACCAATCTGGCAACCTATTTGATAAAATTACTCAATTAAATTGTACTCTAATGTTGTAGTGAAAACACAGAAAAGTGGTTTAAGTAATGAGCTACCGAATACAATTAAAAGTATAACAACCTATTGAATACAATTTAATTTAAAGATAAAGTGACATATAGAGCAAATTTCGTACTATTATAGGTAGACACACAAGTGATGGTGATGACATATCACACACAAACTTGAGTTTCTTATTCCATGGTGAAATCAATAAATTTGTTTTGTCAACTTAGTAATTCCCTTGGGATATTTCTTGTTGTAATATTCCTTCATTTCAAATCAAACGACTCTTTGAAAACAAAAGAAAAGTGAAAACCAAAACATATACATACACAAACATATGATATCAACTCTTAAATTTCATTCATCACAAACTAAACCCATCTAACATAACATTTTCATTTTCTCTAAGTACATAACAAAAGTCTTCTCAAATCACCTTCGACTATGTCTTTTTCTCTTCCTCCTTCTATCATCTTCATTATCCGAATCCGAATCACTTGAACTTGAACTACGCGTTTCCTTTCTTTTCTTTTTTCTTCCTTTACTACCCTTCTCCTTCTTCTTCTTATTCTCATTATTCTTGATTTCCGTTTTATCCAAATCATGTGACATCAGCGCTTTGATGTCCAATTTGGTCTTTTCCGGTTTCTGACACTCGTACGTCCAGTGTCCGATTTGTTGACACTTTTGACATTTCTTTTGGTTCAAAGTCGCTTGCTTTTCTGTGCTTTTTAGATACATTTGTGTCTTTAGTTCTTTCTTTTCTTGCCATCTGCTTGGCCCTTCTTCTTTTTGTCCGTATGCATTTACATTACGTGTCGCGTTTGCTGCTGCACATTCTGCTTGTACACGGCTTAGCCCTTTCGTGGCTGATAAAGCTGCAGCCTTCATTTTGTCTGACATGATTTACAACCAATTTGAAATCCCTAAACACAAAATGAATCAAACAAAACATGTCAATCATGATAAAAGATACATCTATACACATAGTAAATTGAATATACAGAATTGTGATCAATCAAGTATTTAACAAATCACATTTAAATACATGTCGTTCGATGGGTTTATGACCATTGCTGCAAATCAATGTGCTCCCATGTAGGTCAATTTTCATTTTCTCACATCGAACACCTAAAGAGCAGTAAATCGATGGAACTAACTCCTCTGTTAAAGAATAAAAAAAGTGAGGTTTTTTTCTGTACGCATACAGCTTTAAACATAAAACAGTACTAGGGTTTCTGGTGAAATAGCAACCTGGTATGATCGAGGAGACGAATCGTGATTCTAAGTAATAAATACGATACAGATTCAACAATATATCCCCAATTATTTATGAGATTAGTAATTGGCAGGATAAGAATTGATGTACTAATGAAGGATCTTAGCATAAAAGAGACTAGAAATCAGATAATTAAACGAATTCTTATAACGAAAGAATTTTACACCAACAAGGTGAAACTTACCGGAGAACGATTCCAGTAGAGAAAGTTTGCTGCAGAGGTTGAGGTTGAGGTTGCCTAGGGTCGATACCGCCTCCAGGCTGAGTCGGTTTATGGAAGAGGGCAAGGGATTTCGCTCTCTGTTAATGACGAAATTGCTCCATTTTTTGACCTAATCTGGCAATTTCAGTCCTAAAATTAAGATCTTTTAGAATTTATTCCCCCATTCGACGGCTTTTGCAAATTACTAATCTAACCATTTTTGTTAATTATTTATCAAAAAAAAAAAAAAAAAAACCAAAAAGTCTCATAAAACCATACTAATTACTAATCTAACCATTTTTGCAAATTACTATCTCACATAGCCAAAAATAGTCCATAAAACCATAGTCAACTTATGGTTGACTACAGTCAACGCGGTTGACTAATGTTTTAGCCCGAAAAATATTATTTCGTAGTAATGGGCTACTGTTTCACGGGCTCGTTTATTTTTTCGTGGCCCATTAGCCCAAAATATAAAATGAAAAAATTTCAGTTTAGGTGTGTTTTTACCTATTGTTTTCTTAGGTTTTGCTACTTTTTTCTCTCAATGGAGCACCCGAAGAACAACCATGTTTGTTTACTTTTCATCAAAATTTTACTGTGTTTGTGATTAGGAGTAGGTTTTGTATATGTGGTTAAATTTTTTTTGAAAAAAATCGAAAAACAAAATATAAAACCGTAGGTTTCATACGAAACCTACGGTGTACAAGTGCCCAATGCACAGATTGTGCAATGTCGACTTGTACACCTACGGTTTCGTATGAACCGTACATAATTTTTTTTTTCGTTTTTTTTAAATCGATTCAATTGCATCGGATCTTTATTTATGTTGTATTCGTATAAATTTTTTTTTTTAAAAAAAAAAAAAAAAGGAAACCGTAGGTTTCCCATAAAATACGTTTTTTTTAATAAAAAAAATTTATAACTAATAAACATTTGTATCCCCATGTATGTATGTTATGATTTTTTGTTGGAAAAAAAATCGTAGGTTTCCTAAAACCTATGGTTTTATATTTTTTTTTTTCATTTTTCTTCAAAAAAAATTGTTTAAACGTATTTTTAAGGATTGTATCCCCTTGTATGTATGTTATGATTCAATGTTTGCATGTTGTTAAAATTGATTTTATTTTATATGTCTCAATTATAGCATACAATAGCAATGTACTATCGATTTGAAAATGTTTTTATGTTTATAATGTGTAGATACTTTGAAGTATACTGTATTGATAAAATTAACATTGTGTTTTGGTACTTTCGGGTTTGTTATAAAATATGTTATTGTCATGCCATTTTCAAAGTACAATGCTAATTTTGGTATACTAGTAGTATAGAAAATACAAAAAAATATAGTCAATTAATTTCCTTTGGTATTTTATACAAAGTAAATAGAATATATGAAATGATTAAGTCTTATATTGTGTGCTTTCTCTAATTGTTTATCAATTTTTTTTTCTTTTATAAAACTTTATTTAACCTTAATGTTTATTTAATTTTGTAGCTTCCAAACAAAATGATGATGGGTCACTTATCTGTCAAAGCTTCATGCCATAAATTGCATGAAGTTTTGAGTCACTTGAACGGACCCGTGCGCGATCTTTTTTCAACAACTAGCTTCGGTTACTTGTTGGACCTACCAGCTCAGTCCGGAGACGGACTTCTTATTCATGGGATGTTACTGCATATGTTGCGTCCTACTGCTGAAACGGACGCCGCTGAACGTCTATATTTTAGGTTTTCTAGACGTACACTGTCATTTGGGCCGGAGGAGTTTTGTCTTGTGACCAGACTTTACATGGGCCGGTGTCCTACATCAAGGATCGAATTTTCAACCATGTATAAACACGGATATGGTGAAAATACATTTCGGTCCAGAGTCTTCCCATATCGCACGGACACTTCTTTAGTTGTAGAAGATTTAGAGCTCCTTATCTTGAATCAACGGTTCAATGACATATCGGCTCACGACGGTGTCCGTGCGATTTTGCTATATATCCTCAATCAAGGTTTTTTGGGAAAGGAGCTTAATGATAAAGTCACCAAGGAATTTTTGTGGGTGGTGGAGAACCTGGATCAATGGAATAGGTATTTTGTCAATTTAATATTTATAATAAAACTAATTTTTATACGTTTAACTAATACTTTTTTCTTATAATATAGGTTCTCGTGGGGGAGTTATCTATGGACTAAAACATACCCTAGATTGTCGGGTATGTTTAAGAAATTTGAGGATCATATGTCCAACAATCAAACAAAAGCGATTGTGTACACACTATCGGGTTTTGTTATTCCTTTGAAGGTAAATTTAAGTAACTAAAAAAATATATTTAATAATTTATCGGTTTTTTTTTTTTTTTAATTTTAGTTAGTGCTGACACTTATAAATTAACGTATATTTATTACAAGATATGGATATGGGAGATGTTCCCAGTAATTTGGGGAAATGCTGCGATACGACGCAATTATTTATATCCTCGTATATTGCGCTGGTTTCATATTAGGAGGTTAACTTGGGCGAAAGTTTGTGATGTTTTCGATGTTGATCAGGACGAGGCGCATCAACCCAAAAAAAGATGATTGCCTCAGATGCCGAGTCCTCTACTCCACATTATTTGTCATATATTACTAGTCTGAATTGTGAATCATTTGAAGTCCCTTCTTCTGTACGCTACAACTTTAGAAATGATGTAAGTAAATCTTTAAAAGCAGAATCTAGTATAATAAAATTTTTCAACTATTATTGATATATGAAATAATTTATGTAGGGGGCATCTTCGTCTCATCCATCCTGTGGAAACAGTCAATCTTCCAAGTCTACCGATGGAACTCATACGGTGGGAATTAACAAAAAACCGCGCGAGAAATAATGGCAAGACTTCAATCTTTGGAGGAAGAAATCCGAGGATTGAAAAATAAAGGTGGAAGTCGCGACGGTGATGATTTGGAAGAAATTTTTAACGAAGCTTTTGAGGTATTACTATCAATTTAAATATATATGATGTATTATTTAATTTTTTAACGAAGCTTTTTATTAATTATTTTTTTCTTTAAATGTAGGGAATGAGAATGTGGTTGGTAGTCTACAGAAACAAAAATCGAGTAAGCATGTGAAGAGATTTGATAATCCACAATTGTTTGATTCTAGAAAACAAATAGAAATCGTGAAGGAGATTATAATTTTTTTTTGTATATTAAACTTTTTATTTTATTAAAGTATATTAAAAAAAATTAATATTTTTTTTTGTAGAAGAAGAAGAAAAAGAAGGTTGTTGCTAGCGAGATTGTGGATGCGGAAAATCATATACCCGGGCCTCCTGTGGTGAAAGAAAGTCTTCCGGTTAGGCAATTGAAACCTTCTCAATATCTTAGCTCCCCATACGTTTCGGTAAGTATGTTAAAAATCATATTTACTATAATTTTATTACTATATGGATTGTTATTGACTACGTATATAATGTAGCTTCAAAATGCCCCTCGATATCGTACAGGTGGAGTAATACACAACGAACCACAACCCCCCGTATTTGCCAGCGATCCCCCGACACTTTTATTGGAGCCGTATGTGAATCCGGGTTGTAACGCCCCTACTCTATACATGGGAAACAAACCGGCAATTTTTTTGAAACATCGGTTATACAATGAAAAAATGGAAGCAAAGTTTTGGGATCTGCTTTTTATGCAAGTGAATTGGGATTTTTAGATGAATCGGTATGAAGACATTCCTTTATATTTAAAATTTAAATAATTTAATAAGCTACTTATGTTTAAATTAATTTTAAATGCAACATGTTGATATATGGGGAAGGCTTTTGAATGAGCGGAGACCGAACGATGCTCGATGGACAATCATGCCATCGTCATTTTTTGGTGCATTTGAGATGTTCCAGTGGGCAGGAAGTGCAATGGGAAATCCGTTTGACCCATTGGATGAATGTAAATCTTGGCTAGAAGTTGACCGTGTAAGTAAAGAAATAATATATATATATATATAATATATTATATATATATATATATAAGATATATATTATCAGTCACTTTAATTGTCATATTACACTAATTAAACGATGTAATTAATTGCAACGGTTGTGTGTTAAAACAAGTTTATTTTCCAATATGCATCAACCCACATCATTGGGTACTTGGCGAGTTATGGATGGACACGCTGTCGTTGAATTTGTACGACAACTTCCGATTATTTGGCAGCTTGAAGATTATTGATTTTGTGCGGTTTGAAGAGCTTATGGACCGCATTCTGCTGGAAATTGGCTATTGGAACCATATGGGTTTGCCTGTTCAGAAAGCATCCATCACTGTTACGGATGTTACGGACGTGCCCCAACAAGAAGGGATGTTTGGAGAGTGCGGTGTATTTATGTTGATGTTCATGGAGCAGCTTGTTTCAGGTCGACCGATTGGTATATCGATGACACCTGTTGTTGCTGCTACTCAGTTTCGCTATAGGATGGCCATGATATATTATGGATCTTCTACACAGGTGATTTTTAGTTAGTCTGAGTTGTATGTTTTTAGTGACATTCAATGTGTACTGTTTCATGACGATTGGTTAAGAAAATGTCCCCTAATTATTAAACATAAACAAACTAGCAAGGAATAGTACATATTATATAGATTAATCATAATAAACAAGCAAATATAAAACTTAATACATAGATAAACTCATAAATAATGCATAAACTACTACTTGGTTAATCAATAATTATTAAATTCAAACTTTGGAAAATCATTTGGAAATTTTGCTTTTCTTGAATCACCCAGTCGTAATTTTTTTGTATGTTTTTGAGAATCTTTTTCATTTTAACCTCTTCTTTGTTGGCGTAGTCAATTGCATCTCGTACCTAAACCCTTGCAGTTTTTATGTCGCGTTCATTGTCTTGAACCGACCTCATTTTAGACCAAATATCGGCTTGTAAGTTATCCAACCGTTTCCTATCTTCTTCAACGCCTTTAATCTCGTTCTTGATCTCTTCTTCTTTTATTAACATTTGCAATCGCTTCTCTTGTGGCACCAACCACCATTTTTCTTGAGAGGTGGACATGATTGTATGTGTACGACGGTTATAGATTAACCACTAATATATGATTTGTAAATCTCAGACGCATACATTTATGTCTCCATATATAAATTACAATTTAACTACTTTTTTATAGGCTTTGACTACTGTCAAATAGCTTTTGACTACTATTTTAGGTGTTGTCATAT